GAGTAATATTTTAAAGTCGATGCGGAATCTTACTGGGAGCCAGTGTAATGTAGATAAGACTGGCGTGATATGCTCATACTTCCTAGTCCTAGTAAGGACCCTCGCTGCTGCGTTCTGAACTATCTGAAGCTTATTTATGCATCTAGACGAACATCCAGATAGTAAAGCATTACAGTAATCTAATCTGGACGTGATAAATACATGGACTAGTTTTTCAGCATCACTTAGCGAAAGTATATTTCTAATCTTAGCGATATTTCTGAGGTGGAAAAATGCTAACCTGCTTACATTATCTACATGCGCCTCAAATGAGAGATTGGAGTCTATAATCACACCGAGATCTTTTACTGTTAGACTACTTGAAACAGAGAGACCGTCTAAAGTAACAGTGTGATCTTTTTGGACTTAAGTGGGATAATATAACATGAATCTATACATAAATTAGTTCTGGTGCATTCAGAACAAGTCCAGGACAAGGTTCTGGAAAAGTATTAATCTGGGTTATAAAAAAAATATAAAAAATATAAATTTTAACATCCTGCCAAGCACCACAAATCCATTATTAAAAAATGGAATGGACTTTAACCATAACAATAGGATTAGAGCTTTATACTCAGCTTTTTGAATCCACTTCCCCAACCAAAACGAGAATGGGAAAGAGGATGAGTGTGACATAGAAACGGCCTTTAACAGGCTGAATATGTGTGGTCATGGTCACAAGGTGATGACTTTTACTTTTAGTACTCAGCAAAGTAATGGGCAAAAAGGGAAAACTCCACTACTTCATAAGGAAACCGCCCTGGCAATCTGGAATGAAAGGAAGTAGACCAGGCCATTGTTGGCTTGTTATTGAAACTCGGGGATAGCGTTTGGTCTGGGACTTTGGTGACAAGCTGTAATGACTTTGTGCTCCAACAGATGGTGATTCTGCTCTTCATTACTGGAGCACACAGAGTAGCGGCACATCTCCCGAGACTGCACACACACACACACACACACACACACACACACAAGCCTGCAATTCTACATGATGTCTAAAGTATGTTCAGCCTGTATATACTGTACATACTGTATCTACACAATATACTTAAATATACACACGGACAAAAATGAATTACCTCAGATGCTTTTGAACACATTTGATGCATCAGTACCTGCTGTGTGATGGCAAACCCGATGACCGGATCTCCCTCGAGGATGTCCCATGTGACCACAGCTGCATTGCCCTCTAAGGTCTTGATGGTTACATTCAGTGGGGCGGATAGGCTGTCTGAAGACAAAAGTCACAAAAGCAGAGACAGAAAGTTGATGAGAGAGCATCCTATTGCATCTCCCCACAGCTTTGACTGACAACACACAGAAAAATCTTACAAGTAAAAGCTGGAAATACCACAGACTGTTTTTTTTTTCCACTACTTTCTCTTCCCTCATTTCTAACACCAAATAGGATGGTGTGTGCGCTTCAGATTGTGGAAACACTCCACTGCTCAACCTGGTATGAGGTCACGCTCAATCGATAGTTCCATTACACTCCACTTTTATTTACTCATGTGGGAGCTCTTAGATTGGTATCTGAATGTGCTTTAGAGTGTTAAATAGTCTGCAAATAAAAAGCATGCAGCCATCTTTTCTTTGGCGGTATATTTTGTCTTTTTGCATAAAATAGGCATCATGCAGAGAAAAGGCTTTGCGTTGTTATGACTGTGTGTGTCATTTGTCTGCATAATAATGCAGTGATGAATAAATCACCTCAGTTAGCACCTAGTTATCTCTAAAGTTCTCGGAGCACAGATAGTCAGCATTGCATTATTTATAAAACTATCCTAAGTTCACATCCATTAAAATATGGACAATATTTAAAAAAACAGGTCAGCTAAAAGATGTGTCCTCCAAATTCTGCATTAAAGAGCCTTTCACACACACACACACACACACACACGCACTGTTGTTTTTGCCAAAATTCAGACTTTAAGGTATCATGCTGTGGGGAATGCACATGCTATTTCCGTAACAGAATCAGAATCTTTTATTTGCCAAGTGCATAATGCACAAATATTTTTCTTGGTACAAATGTCAATAGTCCAGTAATATAAAGGCTAAAAACTAGAATTGGTAATACAGTAATATTAGGTGGAACTATGCACATGGAAACACTGGAAAACCCTGGGGGAAAAAACCCAGATGTAGAAATGCCAGCACTGTCAGCATGGTGTTTGAGTTCTGCCTCTGACAGTTCCTCAACCTCAGCTACATCACTCGAGTTCATAACTGTTCTCAACTACAGATGTGCGCAAGCCTTTTTTTTTTTTTTTTTTTTTTTAACTCGTGCAGTTACTACTTTTGTTTGTACCTGCTTGCATATTTTCAAACAAATTTCTAACAAAAACCAGATATATATATATATATATACACTGTGTATATGTACTGTGCAAAAGTCTTAGACACCCTATTTTTTGGTAGGAACTTTGTTATAGATTTTTATTTTATGATTTCTACATTATCGATTCAGTACAAAAACATTTTAGATTTCCAAACATTAGTTTTCCAGCACAAAATTAAATGTTACAGAATAATGTTTGTATGTCAGTAAGGAAAGTAACATATTATGTAAGAGACTGCTTTTCAGACAAAAAACATAATGAAGGCTGCTGGGTTTTGCTGCAAAAATAAGAAGTAAGTGCAACAGTCAAACTCTCCAGAAGAACTGTGGCTGCTTCTGCAAGATGCTCAGTAAAATTTACCAGCTAAATTCCTTATAAAACTACACAAACTGTACCTGAGACTACTAATTTTTTTAAAGCGAAGGGTGTGTGTATATATATATATATATATATATA